GACGCACAGACAGACGTACCTGAGATTAATAAGTAGCTGTGAGCGCAGGTCTGCTAACTTGTTTGGTGGTGCAGTGGGTAGGAAATGCAGACGACTCCAACACATAGTCATCGTCGGCCGCCAGGGTACCAGCTACAGTGGCTGCTGCGCGGGCGCCCATTGATCTACCTGTAAGCACATGCATGCAATATCTTAGGATCCCACAAAAAAAAACATGCACACTGTGAAACAACTGTTCGACTGTACACAGATAGTTGTGCCTGCACATGGTTACCTGTTTGTTTCGTGGCTGCATTTCCAGGTAAATGACTGTATAGTAGAGTGATAGTATTGTATACCATCAACAACTTGTGTTACATTAAAACCACAATATTTTATGGTGCTTCTCGGTTAGGTTATGGAAAAAATCTGAGGATCACGGTTTATTGATAATTTACACAATATTTAGAAAGTAGAATTCCATGTCTAAAAATACAAACATCTTAACAAGTTAACATATATATACCGACATCTTTATTAACGTAGAATTATTTCATTTGCATTTAAAGAAGTTTAGCATGATAGTAGCTAAACAATTTTACCTGCTAAAAAACAGCCTTTAAAAGTTCCCATTTCTTTGAGACGGTTCTGTAAAGTGTAACATCACATCCCTATTGTAAATGTATGTGAATCACCAACTAATTGGTATGCTACATAGTAGCAGCATTATCACCATACAAAACAGCTTAATTTATGTTTTAAAATTTATATTTACAAATTGCATCTTTAGCTGCATGAATATAGAGAATCATACAGAGAACCATATACTAATTACAACAAAAACAATTCTAAATATGATTCGACAAATAACTGAGCAAATAATGGCAAATTACTAACTACCATGTATTCACATCACCACCGCTGGATGAACGGTAGGTGTCTCATGTAAAGCAGTGATACCTACTAACACAGTTTCGTATACTCTTGCTCCTGTGAACCAGATTGAGCCTTTACAGTGAATCGTAAGCAAACTGATGCGTTCTCTGCCAGTATGCCAGCCATCTCCACTAACTGCGTTGTAATTCATGTCTCCTCAGCCCCATGTTGAGAATGAACGCCACCTCTGCGGTGAGAGACGCTGTCGGCTGAGATGGGTGAGGATGGCGGCATATTCCTTCCATTGCACGAGATGACAAGATTCTCCTGCAATTATGCATGCAAGCAGTTGCTGTAGTGCAGTGGCGTAGCTAGGATTTTCTCAGCGGGGGGGGGCACTGGGGGGCCTTACATTTTCGTGGGGGCACAATATATAACTTTTCTTTGTAATATACTGTTCTAACGCATTGTTTTTAATTCAATTTTTTTTATCAAGCATGATTTTCAGTGGGGGGGCACCTGGGGGCACAGAAAATTTGTGAGGGGCACGTGCCCCCCAGGCCCCCCGTAGCTACGCCCCTGCTGTCAGTGATGACCAAAAATGCATCTATGGCCTGCAGCATAACATTAAAGGGATTAGTGTCGAGCTTTTAACGTCAAAATATCCCAGTCACACTTAAATATATCATAGATATATTTATATCTTCAGTATGTCAAAAAATCTTATTATACATTTGAAATCACCGCGCTGCATAAGAAATGCCTGAGCGCTGACGTCACGCGATTACTCGTGCATGACGTAGAAACAGCCGTGAGCGGCCGCCGCAGCCACAGGCCACTTGGGACAGTCAGTAAAACTGAAAAAATATGAACGCACATTCACAATACTACCTCTCAATTACACTCACTGTTGTGTCACTGACTGTATATCAACTTACATATTAAAGTGCTACTTGTACTTTTTCGTTACTCGGACGCAATGCCGCAAAAAACGATGAGCGTCAGTGGAGATGTGTACACGTAGTCACGTACAGTGCGTCGGACTTTTTGATGGCAATATTTCAGCCCATTAGTAATCATCTTGTTTGTCTACTTACCAAAATGCTAAGAAACATTGGGTTTGGTTGGGTTTCAATAACTATATTGACTGATTTTAGAGGCATTTATTTCTATTAAGTGTTTGACAGAATTTTTACTAGCATTTTTTACTTTTCATGTTGGAACTTTACTGCGATTATTATGTGACACTGTTTTTTATGTATCTCTCGTTTTTAATACAGTGATGATAATATTGATCAGGTTATACTGCATATATCGTCAGTTTCACACATGACTGCATGTATGAGCTGCAGAATGTTCAGCGTTGAATAGGCAAACTTCATAATTCCTATGATTTATATCGGTTAACACACTCTTCCATGTGCGTATTGATTCAGTGTTCAACGGGAGATCTTTGTTGACGTCTTTACTGTTGCTGTCTTCATATCCTATGTAGAATCACCAACACTGCTGGCCATCCACTGCATCCTGCTTTACCTCCAGTCGTCTTGACCATGTCTTGCCACTGGATCCAGATGAATCCGGACAAGAAAGTGAGGCTGGACAAGAGAAGGAGTCAAGCGCAAATCACAACCCCCCAACCCACAAGTCCTGTGGCGATGGGTGAGCGTTGAAGCAGCAGGTGTGGATACACTGGAAGCTGTAGATGCAGACCTACACACAGGCGGCTCAGGCCATAGGGTCGCTTTCTTGCTGATCGAAGCAGGAGCGGAACTGGGCAGCCCCCTGAGCGACTGAGCAGCCCTCTTTAGGAATGCACTGCTCACCTCCTGGCATGAGGAAGGGGCTAGAAAAGGTGACCTAAACATTGTCTGCTTCACAACCCTCCTGGACGTTAACCACGGGACTCCAACTATTGCGGTCGAAAACAGAATCAGAAAAAAACACCAAAACTTATGCCACTCATTGTTGGCTTCTGGAATGTAAGGACGCTGATGGACAACCCAAATGCAGACAGACCCGAGAGGAGAACTGCACTTGTGGCAAGAGAACTTGAAAGGTACAACATTGACATTGCTGCACTTTCCGAAACAAGATTAACAAATGATCAGCTCACTGAATCGGGTGGTGGTTACACCTTCTTCTGGAGTGGGCGTAGTGAGGAAGAACGGCGTGAGGCAGGAGTTGGCTTTGCGATAAAAAACCACCTCGTCTTAAAGTTATCCAGCCTCCCCAAAGGCATGAACAACCGCCTTATGACACTGCAGCTCCCCTTGAGGTTAAACCGCACCCTCACAATGGTTAGTGCTTATGGACCAACGATGACCAATCCTGACAATGTCAAAGACAAGTTCTACGAAGAACTCGATGCCCTCATTGCAGCCGTCCCCAAGTCTAACAAATTACTTGTCTTAGGTGATTTCAATGTTCGTGTTGGTCATGACCACATGACCTGGGAAAACATAGTAGGTCATTATGGTGTGGGTAACTGCAACAGCAATGGCCTGCTCCTGCTGAAAACCTGTGCCATCAATAAACTGTGCATAACGAACACAGTGTTCTGCCTACCGAATCGCAACAAAACTTCCTGGATGCACCCACGTTCTAAGCACTGGCACCTTATCGACTATGTCATTAGCAAACAACGGGACAGGCAAAATGTCAGAGTAACTAAATTCATGTGTGGTGCTGATTGCTGGACGGACCACCGACTTATCATCTCAAAACTCAACATCTGCATCCAGCCAAAGAGGCGTCCCCAAGGGAAAACGACCACCAAGAGGCTCAATGTCTCCAACCTGAATTCAAATGTTACTGCCACCCAACTGTTAAACGAGCTCAATGCCAAGCTTGCTGACTTCCATCCCTCTGGGGATGTTGTAAATGACTGGGAGACATTTAGAGACGGTGTTTATTCAACATCGTATGAGATTCTTGGTGCGAGAACTAAGAAAAACCAGGATTGGTTTGATGAGCACTATGAAGAAATAAAGACCTATCTTCAAGAAAAGCAGCGCCTTCACAGGGCCTACATCAATGATCCCACCTCCACCTCAAAGAAAACAGCTTTCAACAACATCTGCCAAACTGTCCAGGCTAAGCTGAGACAAATGCAAGATTCATGGTTGGCCAGGAAAGCTGATGGGATTCAATCATTTGCCGACAGACACGACTCCAAGAGCTTCTATGCTGCACTAAAGGCTATATATAGACCACAGTCGTCGGGAACTTCACTACTCTTGAGTGGAGATGTCACAACGCTCATCACAGATAAAGATAAGATCCTCGAAAGATGGGCTGAACATTTCCAAGCTGTGCTAAACAGACCATCTAACATCAATGATGATGCAATTGATCGCATTGAACAGGTCGAAATCAACCACGAGATGGACCTTCCGCCTGAGGAGCATGAAGTCAAGAAAGCCATACAACAGCTGGCCGCAGGCAAAGCCCCTGGATCCGATGACATCCCAGCGGAGATTTACAAGACTTGAGGCCCCACCTTCACCAAGAAGCTCACAGAACTATTTTGTTCATTCTGGGAGAGGCGTCTTATTCCACAAGAACTAAAGGATGAATCTATTCTCCACCTGTTCAAAAGAAAAGGTCATCGTAAAGTGTGTGATAACCATAGAGGCATCTCCCTGCTTGTCATAGCTGGCAAGATACTCACCAGAGTAATGCTCAATCGAAACTGCGCTGACCATGCAGAGGTCTGCCACTTCTGCAGTATTACTACACTAGTCTAGTATTCCACATTTAGGAAGGCATACTCCACACGCACGCACCAGGGTTCATAGTAGTAAGACACATGTTGAAATAAGGACTTATAAGACTCTTTCTGGATGCCAAAATAAGATTTTTTACGCGATTTCTGATAGATCACCGACTATTAAAGTACACTAATAATATCAAGAGCTAATAATACCTAGAGTGTACAACGGAAAAACGGGAAAATAGTGCTATTTCACGACAACATTATTCGACTTTGCCTGCGAGACTAGAATAATTTTATAGTATTGCATTAAGCAGAATTCTTTGCTCTCTAAAACAAGACCAACTGCTTGTCAATACGATACTCCTAGGCTGAGATATATTGGCTCCTAAACCTCCCCTCCCACATGCCTTACGCCGCCTCGCATCCAGCTTATTCACCAACCTACACGCCTCTAAGGTTGTTTCGTGAGTTCGGTTTTTTCCGCGATAACTTTATGAATGACCGGCGTTTCGGTGACATCGCCTATGCCCTTATCTCCCATTATCTTTCCTAGCACGGCTAATGCCCGTCATGATAGAGCCGGCAATGTTTTCTTAATTAAGTTTCTACAACGCAGCTCAGTTACTATATGGTGTAGTAAGCGTACCAAATTTGGGCATGTGACATCAATTATCAGCGCTCCAAGCGGTGACGGAAACCGATAGCCAAAATGCTTAGAGGCGTGTATAGGTTGGTGAATAAGCTGAATGCGAGGCGGCGTAAGACATGTGGGAGGGGAGGTTTAGGAGCCAATATCTCAGCCTAGGAGTATCGTATTGACAAGCGGTTGGTCTTGTTTTAGAGAGCAAAGAATTCTGCTTAATGCAATACCATAAAATTATTCTAGACTCGCAGGCAAAATAGAATAATGTTGTCGTGAAATAGCACTATTTTCCCGTTTTTTCGTTGTACACTCTAGGTATTATTAGCTCTTGATAATATCTATATATACACAATTGCACAGCAGATTTAATTATTCCGTATTATATATACAACATTTCTTACTCTAAGTCGAGAACAGTAAGTCGAAAAATAAGGACTATTAAGTACTTTTCTAAGATTTCACCAAAAATAAGTACTAATAAGGGCCCTTATTTTATTTTTGGCAAAATAAGTACTTATAACTTTTGAAGACCCGCTACGAACCCTGACGCACGCACGCACGCACGCATGCACACGCACACAGACAGACGTACCTGAGATTAATAAGTAGCTGTGAGCGCAGGTCTGCTAACTTGTTTGGTGGGTGCAGTGGGTAGGAAATGCAGACGACTCCCAACACATAGTCATCG